CCGGCGCGGACCCTTGCGGGGCCTCAGAGCCCAGGTCCATTTCCCACGCCCTCACCAGCCTTCAGCCGGCCCTCTCCCCAGGAAGCCCCCCGGACTGCCACCGCCACCACGGACCATCCCCAACGACTCTAGACATCATGCCTTTACCCCTACCGCACACCCTGCTCTCCTACGCCCCGGTGAGGGTGCTGCCTTCCCCGCCAGGCTCGGAACCCTGCCCTGTGTCCCCTGCCCCAGTCCTGCCAAGCCAAGGCCCACAGAGGGAACCCGTGGTGCACCCTCCTGAGCCCCGCCCGGCGCCCCCAGCCCACAGGACTCACCGGCGGGGCGGCGCCCCTCGGCTCTTGATCTGGCGCTGGGCCTGAGCTATGTCCTGCCCCGCCTTCTGCAGGTAAATGGCCGGGAAGTGGCCTGTGGCGTCTTCTTTCCTGCAACAGAGATGGAAGTCCAGTCAGTGGGAAGATGGGGGCTCCCTCTACACAGTTGGGTTCAAGGCAGCTGGGAGGTGGCAAATACCCGGGTGGCCAGCACCAGACCCTGCCCCTGCGGGCCTCGGTTTCCTCATCTGTGCAGCACAGGCCCTCCGGGTTGAGACGTTGGGAGAGGGAGAAAATTAGCCGGTCTGGATCTTTCCAGGGACACGTGTTTGCTATCAAACATCTGCAATATTGCATATGTCAGTTTTTCTTTTCTGGTGGTTGCCTGTGTGTACTAAGTAACTCCACTCATCACGTTCTCCTATGCTTTCTTCCAAAAGCTTTTGAGTTTGGGGTTTTTGAACTTTGTAAAACCTGTGATCCATCCCAAATAAATGTGTATGGTGTGAGGTAGGGTTCTAGGTTTGTTTGTTTCCATATGGATATCCAGTTGTTCCAGCACCGTTTGTTGGCTAGATTTTTCCCCCTATTCTATTATATTTAGGGTGTGTGGGGGGGGGAACTTTACATAATACAAACTTCACTCAGTAAAACTGATTTTTCTTGGATGGTGGAAGAATCACAAGCAGATTCTCAGGGGTATGTGATATGGGGTTAACTACGTGTGGATCTAATAAAAGGTTGGGAAACCTGTCTTGGGTGGGTGGAGGTGGAAGAAGGTATAGGGGGGATAAATGGGGATGGGGAAAAAATAAAAATAATAAAATCAAGATAAAAGAAAAGAAAGAAACCCTGTCTCAAAGCCTCCAGCCCAGGACCATGCTGAAGATGGGTGTTGTGTCCACAAGTTCGCTGAGTCATGGGCTGGCCCTGTGACCCGAGGCCGTGAAAGCATGTCAAGGACCTGGGGAGGCCCAGTGGCTCCAGGGAGAAGTCTCTGCTTCCCCTAGAACTGGGCGGGAGGGGAGGGGGCTGAGGGAGGGGGGTAGGCAGGGACCCAGAGGGAGGAATTAGTGTGGAATTTCAGGGAAAGATTTAAAAATAGTTGTGTTGCCCTAACCGGTTTGGCTCAGTGGATAGAGCGTCGGCCTGCTGACTCAAGGGTCCCATCGATCCCGG